CAGCGCGGAGTCCAAGAAGAAGTCCAACGGCAAGATCTACGTCTGCTCCGACTGCGGGAAGACGTGCCCCTGCCGGTCCGCCTACGTCCGTCATCAGAGAACCCACACCGGGGACAAGCCTTACCCCTGCCCCGTCTGCCGGAAGAGCTTCGTCCAGGCCTCGGACTACAACAACCACGTCCGCTCCCACACCGGGGAGAAGCCCTACGCCTGCGCCGAGTGCGGCAAGAGCTTCGGCCGCAGCGCCTACCTGGCCACGCACTCCAGGACGCACACCAAGGAGAAGCCGTACGCCTGCCGCGTGTGCGGGAAGAGCTTCGTCCAGCACTCGCACCTCTCCCTGCACCTGAGGATCCACAGCGGCGAGAGGCCGTACATCTGCGTCGAGTGCGGCAACAGCTTCAGCCGCAGCTCCACCTTGGCCAAGCACAAGAAGTCCCACCGCAGGAGGACTCAGCACATGTGCCGGAGGAAGAACAGCGGGGAGCGGGCCGCCTGTAACTTCACGCACAACACCCCGCCGACGTGGGGGGAGGGCGGCTCCCAGGAACCACCGGAGGTCACCGCCGCGAGGGCCGAGGTCACTACGAGGGCCGAGGTCACCGCCGCGAGGGCGGAGATCACCACTACGAGGGCGGAGGTCACCACTAGGAGGGCGGAGGTCACCACTACGAGGGCGGAGGTCACCACTACGAGGGCGGAGGTCACCACTACGAGGGCGGAGGTCACCACTACGAGGGCGGAGGTCACCACTACGAGGGCGGAGGTCACCACTACGAGGGCGGAGGTCACCACTACGAGGGCGGAGGTCACCACTACGAGGGCGGAGGTCACCACTACGAGGGCGGAGGTCACCACTACGAGGGCGGAGGTCACCACTACGAGGGCGGAGGTCACCACTACGTGGAGGTCACCGCGAGGGCAGAGGTCACCGCGAGGACAGAGGTCACCACCGCGAGGGCCGAGGTCACCCGGGTGAAATCGGAGGCGGACGAGAGCGGAGAGTGCTACCCGCCGGCGGCGGCGGACGAGAAGACCGTCAAACCCTTACGACTCACCCTGGAAAAATACGTCGCTCATGAGACCGGCGCCTCCCCTGGAGCTCTCCAACCCCAGAGGAAGGTTCTGTGGAAGAAGAAAACGCAGCACGAGGAGGAGAGTGACAACACCCAGAGCAACGGCGAAGTACAAACATCTAAAGAGGAAGCGGACGGCTGGAGGTCAAAGAAGACGTTCTGCCCCTTCAGGGGGGCGGGAAGCGCTCGGGGCGGCGGAGGTCGGCTCGTCCCGGCGCCCCCCGCCGCCGAGGTTCTGGAAGGTGCTGCAGAGCTCGGGAACTCCGCGGACCCGGCGGTCGGCAAGTGCGAAGTGACCGATCCCCCCGGGGGCCCCTGCGAGGAGTCCTCCAAGGTCCTCCAGAGGTCCCCCCGGCGCGCCCTCTTCATCTGCAATTACTGCGGGAAGAGTTGTCCCTGTAAATCGGCGTTTCTCCGGCACCAGCGCATTCACACCGGAGAGAAGCCCTTCTCCTGCCTCCAGTGCGGGAAATGCTTCGTCCAGGCCTCGGACTATAACAACCACGCCAGGTCCCACACGGGCGAGAAGCCGTACACCTGCGCCGAGTGCGGCAAGAGCTTCAGCCGCAGCACGTATTTGGTGACGCACTCCAGGACGCACACCAAAGAGAAGCGCTACAGCTGCCAGGAGTGCGGGAAAAGCTTCATCCAGCACTCGCACCTCTCCATACATCGGCGGATTCACAGCGGCGAGAGGCCGTACTCCTGCCCGGAGTGCGGCAAGCAGTTCAATCGCAGCTCCACGCTCGTCAAGCACCAGAAGTCGCACATCAAAAGGAACAATGCCGTGGAGCAGGCCAAAATGGCCCCTCCCCCTCCCTCGTCTAAGAAGTAGGACGGGAAGATGGCGGCCGGGGCCACACACTGGTGCTGTCACAATGACGTGGTTCTCAGGGGGGCCGTCTTTCCAGGAAGCGGTCCGTACACAACGCGGGGCCTGACGCGTCTTCCATCGTTCTCCGGCCAGCACTGCCGCCTCCAGAGGGCGCTGAGGAGGAGTATAGGAAGGTTCATGGATGGCGTCTGAACTCTGATTGGACGGTTCTAGTGACCAATAGTTCTGTGTTGTGTATGGCGGGGGCGTGGCTCCTCCCCAGAATAATGTTCAGTAAAGATGCTTCTCCGTTCACACTTCTCGCTGTCATTCATGGAGAGCAGGGGACGTCTGGGGGTATTGAGATCTGGTCGGGCCCCGTCCTGCCACCAGCATGAGATCCTTGGGATCTGGTGGGGCCCCGACCTGCCACCAGCATGAGATCCTTGGGAACTGGTGGGGACCCGTCCTGGCATCAGCATGAGATCCTTGGGAACTGGTGGGGCCCCATCCTGGCATCAGCATGAGATCCTTAGGAACTGGTGGGGCCCCGTCCTGGCATCAGCATGAGATCCTTGGGATCTGGTGGGGCCCCGACCTGCCACCAGCATGAGATCCTTAGGAACTGGTGGGGCCCCGTCCTGGCATCAGCATGAGATCCTTGGGAACTGGTGGGGCCCCGTCCTGGCATCAGCATGAGATCCTTGGGAACTGGTGGGGCCCCATCCTGGCATCAGCATGAGATCCTTGGGATCTGGCGGGGCCCCGTCCTGGCATCCACATGAGATCCTTGGGATCTGGCGGGGTCCTGGCGTCCACATGAGATCCCTGGGAACTGGTGGGGCCCCGACCTGCTATCAGCGTGAGATCCTTGGGATCGGGTGGGGCCCGACCTGCTATCAGCGTGAGATCCTTGGGATCTGGTGGGTCCCGACCTGCTATCAGCGTGAGATCCTTGGGATCTGGTGGGGCCCGACCTGCTATCCGCGTGAGATCCTTGGGATCGGGTGGGGCCCCGTCCTGCCGTCAGCATGAGATCCCTGGGAACTGGTGGGGCCCCGACCTGCCGCCAGCATGGGATCTGGTGGGGCCCCGACCTGCTATCCGCGTGAGATCCTTGGGATCGCGTGGGGCCCCGTCCTGCCGTCAGCATGAGATCCCTGGGAACTGGTGGGGCCCCGACCTGCCGCCAGCATGGGATCTGGTGGGGCCCCGACCTGCCGTCGGCATAGAATTCATGAAGGGAGAGCAGTGCACAGAGGAGAGGTGGGTGGTCCGGCGGAGGGGCCAGGACTGGGGTGTAAGTAAAGACTAGCTCTGCCCTCCCCCTGACCTGTCATCACGTTCCTCCCGGCCCCCCCCGCGGCGCTGGTCACATGACCAGTTCATTATATCTCCTCCATCACAGGGGTTTGGGGGGAGTGACACTCGGAGAAGGAAAGGATTCTGGGAAGTGTTTTTGGGGAGGAGCCTCCATACTGATTGTTACCATTAAAAAACATTGAGGCCGTGGCAGAGAAAGGCGGACCCAGTGCAGGCTCCTCCCACTCCCAGCATTCCCTGTAGCTGATCTTTACTGACTTACCATGCTTTGTTCTGTGTGTAGAGGCGGCCATCTTGGTAGAGGCAGGACTTGGCTTCCCCATGTCAGAGCTGCCCCCTGATGACTGGCGGGGTAATAATGGAAGAGAGGAGAGTGACGGGGAGAGGAGAGTGGCGGGGAGAGGAGAGTGACGGGGAGAGGAGGAGAGTGACAGGGAGAGGAGAGTGACCGGAAGAGAGGAGAGTGACGGG